CGTTTCCGATCGATTCGTATTTTAAATCGGACGTAAAACTCGTCGAGAATATAAGCCACAATGATTCTAAAAAAAAAAAAAAAAAAGAGAGATAAGAAATTCCCCCTTTGGAAAATGAGAAAATTCCCTTGTGAAAAAAATCCAAATTACGCAATAAAAAAATTCAGTTTTCTTTTATATATAATAGATAATAAAATTCAAAAATCGTAAATATTTTTTCCCTAAAATTGTGTCTGGAAGATAATATATATATAAAATAGAGGGTGAATTATTGATTGGAAAGCTTTTCCCTTGTGAATCTATGAATTACTCTAAGTCCGTTCTAAAACGTCTATGGAGAGAGTATCAAAAGATAATTAGAGGAAAGTAATGATCGACGTCATCTTATATAGGTATATATAAAAGCTTCTCAAGTTTCTGAAATGTTGCCAAACTCTCGAATTATAAGAACATTTTAAATTCTCATTTTTGAATTCGACATTTATATATATATATATAATTTATCAAAATAATAATTATATAAATGGAAAATAATTTAAAAGTGAAAAAAAAAAATTTTTCTCTTTTTTTTTCTCTGATGGATTACTATCATCCAATGTCTTCATTCATTACAATGAAAAATATCTTCTAATAAGAAAAAAATTGAAGAAAAGTCTCTCTCTCTCTCTCCACTTGCCAAATGAAATATCTTCTCGTTAACCAAATTACATTTGACAAATTTGCCTTTGCCTCCTTTTTTTCCCTCCCTAGAGAATCTTTAATCTTTTCTCTCTCTCTCTCTCTCTCTCTCTCTCTCTCTCTTTCTCTATAAAAAGAAAAAAAAAATTCTCTGAAAAATACCTCTTCCTGTCATCATTAAAATAATCATGTTAATTTCCTACTCAACTAATGTAAGAAAAAAAAAATTACTTCTTTTATGTATATCAAAAGAAAACTAAAATTATTATTATTTTGCTAATAATTCTTTTCTTTTAATAATACAATAAAAATAAAAATATGTAAATAATGAATTCTTAATTCCATCATTCTTAAAAATTTCATTTAAATAATTATTCTGATTTAAATATCAATTTTAAAGTATTTTTTTTTTGAAAAAAAAAGGTTTATTGGACCAAATTTGAATAAATTCAAATATGGTGTAAAAATACTTTTCTTTGAGTAAAAAAAAATATATATATCGTAATATTATTTTGCTTTTTGTTTTTCAGATTGGCATAGAGAGAGGGACTATTTGCATCGAGAGGAAATCTACAAATGGTGAGTCATGTTTTACATTTGTGATTTTTTTTTTTTCTATTTTAGATTATAATAAGGTGTTTTTCCTTGTCAGTGTTTATGTGGCTTCAGCGATAAAAAAAAAAGTGATTATTATAGTGATTTAGTGTCGCAAAATGAAGCATATCAGTGCAACAAGAAAAAAAAATTAGATGACTAATCCGCTCATAAAAGTAAGTAATTTTAATTTATTTTCCTCCATAGTTCGTCCACTCTCTAAATCTGAATTAGTAAAAATATTTACTAATTTAAATTATAGTGACTCACTTTTTGCTTTAGAATTAGTTAAATTTTACTAATTGTTAGTGAAAGTTACTAATAATTAGTAAAATTTTACTAATTATTAATTAAAGTTACTAATAATTAGTAAATTTTTACTAATTGAGAAGGAAAAAGTGAGTCACTAATTCAAATTAGTCACCTTTTTTACTAAAACAGATTTAGATAGTACCATAACAATCGTTACCGTGACAACGGTTTTCATATGGCAACGGTTGCTATATTCCTCGTTACCCTGAAATAGCCTTACCATTCAGTATGCTATTTATTATATACGATATAAATTATATTTATATTGTCTTCAATTTTATCCCACTTCTCCTCTCTTCTGATTTTGATATAAAATCATATCAATAAAGAACAAATGGGAATTTGAGGTCTGTTTAAATTTTCTGCAACTTTGAACATTTGTAGTTTTTGACCTCCTGAACAAAAAATGTAAATGGCAAAATTCCAAAAAATGGTCAGATTTTTTAAAAATTAAGATTCAAGTTTAAAAAAATAGTGTTAGAAGCGAAAAAAAATTCAAAAATGACTAAAACCAAAAGAACTAAACAAACTTTCTTAAAACTCGTTAAAAAGAAATTATTTTTAAACCTTTTTTCACCAGTCTGCCATCCGGTATTTTGGATTTTGAAAAACTATCATGGAATTCATAATCAGCGACCCCGAAAACCCCCCCGAGTAACGAGATTTAAGGGAATTCAATGTATTTAAAAAAAAAAAATCGTCGGCCATTTTGGATCCGCCATTTTGGATTTTCAAAAATTGACATCGAATTCGTAATCAGCGAGCCCGAAAATCCCCTCGAGTAGCGAGTTTTAAGAAAGTTTATTTAGTTCTTTTGGTTTTAGTCATTTTTGAATTTTTTTTTTTCGCTTTTAACACTATTTTTTTAAATTTAAACCTCAATTTTTAAAAAATCTGACCATTTTTTGGAATTTTGCCATTTACATTTTTTGTTCAAGAGGTCAAAAATTACAAAGTTGCAGAAAATTTCACAGGACCCCAAATTCCCATGCACCGAAAAAAAAAATCCTCTTGTTTCAATAGGATTTCTCTTATTTCAATGCATATTTTCTTCTAGTATATGCTGCAAAAGGATGTCCTCTAAGTTTAAGAGGATTGTCCTCTATATAAAATTATTCCTCTTAATTTAAGAGGATACTCTTATTTTAAGAGGAAAATATCATGTTAAAAAGAATTCTGAAATAATAAAAATGCAATCATCTAATTTATATATGTCATTGATATAATCTATAAAATTATTAAAAGGAATAAAATTTGTTATTCCATGATTTACATCTATATTTGAGTATAAATAAATTGAAATTGATTTTAATTTTTTTTTTTTTTGAATAAATCAACTAAATCTATTTTTAATAATAATTTTATGCGCAAAACATATAATTCATTAAATTTGAAAATTTATTTTAAATAAATTTTCAAATAAAATTAAAATAAATAAAAATCGTAATAAAATAAATTTTTAAATAGCATAACCTCAAAATTATTTAAATTTTCTATAAAAAAATTACTTTTAAAAATTTCTTTTATCTTCAAAAATAGGCACGTATTGTGTAAGTTGCAACTCTATCAAAGATATTTAAAAGATTATTATTCATTTTGGTTTATTTCCCCTTTTTTCACACAGAAATTAAAACTTTTTCACGCATGATATGCGATTTATGATGCGACGTAAATGATATGACGCCAATTATCTTTGCGCATGAGTGACTTTCTATGGGAAATCCTCTTAGAATTTAGAGGAATATTCTTAAAAACATAGAAGATTATTCTAAATTCTATAGAGAGTATTATTTTTATTCTAAAAAAAATTATTCTGAATATAAGAGGAATGCTCTAGAATAGTCTTTTTGTTTCCTTCCTCTTAAAAAAAGAGTAATACACTTGTTTTAAGAATAAAATTCAAGAGGATTCTGTAAGAGAAATTTTCCTCTGAATATAAGAATATATTTTTTTCAGCGCAGGACCCCAAATTCCCATGTAAATGGTGCGAAGTTCTTTGCGTGGATTAGGCCTTAAATGGGAGACCACGTTTCTTCGTTAAAAAAAAACGAGTCTAGTGTTCAACCTCCTGGGTGACATGGAATAGAACACAATACTTTTCCATTTCATCGGAAAAGTATTTTCCAATATACTTCTATTTAAAAAAAAAAAAAAAAAAGAAACTCCATTTTTCGAAATATTTTGATTGCTTTTGAATTATGCGGTCAATAAATTATTCGCAAGAGTTACTTTTAGAATGGGGAACAAAAATTAATTGAAAGACGATAATGATGATCAATTAAGTTATGAAATTTTCTGATCTGAAAGCATCAGTTGTCCAGTGAATTGTAAGAAAATCGGATCCTATATATATATTGTAGGGTAAACTTAATTCTCATCGGAGCCTTAATCCTTACAAGCTTTTGCATAAAAGCACTCACCCCTCCTTCTCTCATCATATATATATATATATATATATATATATATATATATATATATATATATATATATATATATATATATATATATATATATATATATATATATATATATATATATAATATATATATATATATATATATATATATTGGGTGTGAGACGTTCTTGGAATAGTTAAGCAGGCTGTTAGCGTAATACGAAGCCCAGATGTACTGCATCAAAACAATGGACCAAGAGACAAAGCAGAGTTGACACCATTTCAAGGCTGTACTTCTGATCTCAATTAAACGAATTCCCCCTTTTCCCCACTTCATGACAATAATTATCGATTATTATTATTATTATTATTGATCAAGAACTATATTCTCTATTATTTATTATATAGAAAATTGTCGAAATTTTCTTTTCTTTCAATTTAATTATAATATTTCTTTTTTTAAATTCATTAATTTTTGAAAATATAAAATTAGATTTTTATCTTTTTCGATAAAAAAAAAAGAAAGTTGAAAAATATTTCATGTACTAAGTTTTCATCCCTTATATACTTTTTTTCTAGACAAATTATGAAATTTTTAATGAGAAAAGAAGTTTATACAACTTGTGTCATTAATTTATGAAAAAAAAAAAAAAAAATTTTCTGTGTCAAATATTTCATATAAATTTTATGAGAAACATGTTAATTATATAGTAATAAATGTATATGTAACATATGATAAAATTTTCGAATTTTCTTTATAACTGAGAACATATTATTATTTTTTAAATGACATATACAAAATAGCCGCAAAGATTTGTATTTCGATGCTTATTTAATTAGCAATTATAAATCCTAATCATACTCACACACTAAAGGGTATATGAAACAGACCTCAAAGTCAACTAAATTAGAGTAAAATTTGAACAAGACCTCGTTTAGTTTAGGTCCTTTGGTGCTAATTTAAAGTCTCAATTTTGTGCCATTAAATATGTGCCACTTTTGGGAAATTCATTTAAAAAAATTGTTAATTTTTCAAATTTATTACTTTTTTACTATATTTTACAATATAATAACAATAATAATAATAATTATTATAATTATAATTATATATTAATATAAAATTACATAATAATATTAAATACAAATTACAAAACTGTTATGGGAAAAATGAGAATTTGTTTTTTTTTTTTTTTTTAAATATTTAACCACCTTTACAATATCCAGTTTGCCATCCAACTTGCTGATAACAAAATCCAGAACAACAATTACCATAAATTGATCCATCCATTTTGCATATATGACCATTGTGATTACAGAATGCCAAAGCAGAAGAAATCATTAACATAATAATCATCATTAAAAATAATCCAATTGATTTAAATCCGTACATTTTTTTTTCAAGTATTTTTCTGTAAAAATCATAAAAATAAATTTTGCCTTATTTTTATTAAATAATAAAAAATTGTATGAAAAAAAAAAATTTTCTTGGATATACAAAGAAAATTTTTGTATACTTACTCGGCGTGTAAATGTAATCAAGAAGTACAACAGGAAAATTAAAGTAAATTACAAAATGTTATTTGACTTTATATTGAGAAAATGAGGCAATTTCATTTTATTATCTTGAAGTAAACAAATGTTTTTCTTTTTTTCTTTTTAAATCGATAAATAGTATAATATTTTCCTCCTTTATCTTTTTTTTTTTTTTTTTTATTATTCCAATGTGATTAAATTTTAAATTTATCACAAATGAGGAAAATTATTTTCATTTCTATTAACACTAACGCATATAATGAATATGTATATTACAATTATATATATTATTAGCATAATCAAAACAAATGTCGCATTTGAATGTTTTAATTATATAAGAAGAAAAAAAGGTAAACAATATATTAATTTTTTCTTTTTCGAAAATAAATCCTGTCTGGAATTTTAAAGTTTGCTTTCACAAAAAATTATAAGATATTAAAATAAGCTGCAATGCTTATTATTTTAATACAATTTTGCTTATTTTAATACCAAAATGGATTAAAATAAGCAAAATTGGATTATTATTATTATTTTATTATTATTATTATTTAAATCCAATTTTGCTTATTTTAATCCATTTTGGTATTTTGGTATTTTGCTTATTTTAATACCAAAATGGATTAAAATAAGCAAAATTGGATTATTATTATTATTATTATTTTATTTTTATTATTATTTAAATCCAATTTTGCTTATTTTAATCCCAAAATGGATTAAAATAAGCAAAATTGGATTATTATTATTATTATTATTTTTATTATTATTTAAATCCAATTTTGTTTATTTTAATACCAAAATGGATTAAAATAAGAAAAATTGGATTATTATTATTATTATTATTATTATTATTATTTTATTATTTTTATTTAAATCCAATTTTGCTTATTTTAATCCCAAAATGGATTAAAATAAGCAAAATTGGATTATTATTATTATTATTATTATTATTTAAATCCAATTTTGCTTATTTTAATCCATTTTGGTATTTTGCTTATTTTAATACCAAAATGGATTATTATTATTATTATTATTATTATTTTATTATTTTTATTATTATTTTAATCCAATTTTGCTTATTTTAATACCAAAATTGATTATAATAAGTAAAATTGGATTAAAATAATATGCGTTGCAACTTATTTTAATGCCTTTTAATTTTCTGTGTTAAAAATTCAAAAATTGTAAAAAAAATACTTTTTGAAGAGTAATTTTTTCTATATTTCAAAAAGCAAAAGTTACCAAAGATTCGCATAAGTTTCGGACAGTTTTAAATTTTACTTTGTAATTATTAGTAAAAGTTACTTTATATTTTTTCCAAGTAATAAAATTATGAATTTATACAAAAAATTAATAGAATATTTAGCATTATTTTTTAAAATAAATTTTTATTTAAAAAACACATTTGAAACTAAAATATATAATTTATTGAATTGTATACTGTATTGCAAAAGAAATGATATAAGCAAAAAAAAAAAAAAAAAAAAATTCATAATTTTTTTATACGCAGAATCCACTTGATTCTCCTGGTTTTTGATTACAAGAAAATCCTGGGCAACAAAAACCTAAAGTACCATCGCGTCTACATCTAAATCTATTTGGTGGAATGCACACACCACCACGATGTTGTGACTCAACAGTAAATGGACCAAATAATAAACAAATTATTATCACAAACATCATTAATTTAATTGATTTTAAAGAGGACATAATTTGTTGAAATTTTCTGTAAAAATTTTTAAGATATATTATTTATTTTTTTAATTAACAAGATTTATTTATTGTTTTTACAATTTTTGTTAATTCAAAAAAAAAAAAAAACAGTGATGAAAATAATACTGAAATAATGATTTTTTACTGCTTTAGCATTAGAGATGAAATAATATATGAAATAATTTATAAAATAATAAAATACCTTAGTTGAAATGAAATCTTTTTTTTTCAAAACTTAATTTGTACAAAAAGTGTTTTTTTTTTTTATTTGTAAGATATAATTATAGCAAGTTGCAGAAGAGAAGCATTAACTGTATAAATTTTAAAATTCAATGGAGTATTTATAATGAGGAAATTTTTTTGCAATTTCTTTCACTTATCGCGGAAGCAAACTATTTTTTATAAAAAAAAAAATTAAACTCTTGTTTTTCCTTTCAGATAAAAAAAAAACTTGTTTTCCTTGTTTATTAAGTGATTTATAACGAAGAAAAATAGAAGTACAATGAGGATATATATTTTCCAATTTTCAAAATTAAAATAATAATAATTAGTAATAATTATTATATTGTAGAAAATTTATATTTTTACGAAATCAACAATATTTTTTATATATCAAATAGAAATAGTTTAACTCCTTACGAGTATACAATATCCTGTTATCCATCCTGCATGTTGATAACAAAAATATCCAGGACAACAGAAACCTGTTGATCCATCATGTTTACAGGGACTATCAGGTGCAAGGCATCGTTGTGCCTCAACAAATTGTTCAAATAACAAACTAATGATTGTTACAAATATTATCAATTTCATTGATTTTAAATCATTAGACATATTTTTGTCGAAATTTGCTGTGAAAATTTATGAGACAATTATATAGATTATGGAAAAAAAAATTTTATTTAATTCAAACACGTCGCGGTTGCTAATGACTATTATCAAATAAATATTTATTTCAACCAAAATATATTCGAATCAATAATTCAGGTATTACGATTTATTTTAATAATAGTCAAGTAACAGATTATATTTGAATCAAGTACATTTTTTTTTCTGTATATTTTTTCCAATAATTAATATGAAAATCAATGGAAATTTTTCACTGTTTTATTATAGCTTTTATACCTTAATTGTTATTTAAAAATACTAATAGTTTTTTTTTTGGGGGGGGAACTTTTATACAAAAAAATATTGTTGCTCGGAAATAATTTCACAAGTATCAGAGTAACAACTGTAATATATCTAAAATTCTAAGAGGTATTTATATTAAAGAAGTTTTAAAAAATTTTTTCACTTATCTGTTAACAAACATATAAATAAAATTTGTTTTTCCTTTGAGTTTATTATTTCAAGTGATTTGTTAACAAATATATAAAAGTACAAGGATATTTTTTTCATATTCAAAAGAAGAATTAACAATTTTTTTTAAAAAAGAGGAATTATTAAAAAATAATAGAGAATTTCAATGTAGATAGAAATTTATTCTTTTAATCTTATTTCCTTCTCAATTGAATATTTATATTCAACAGAATTTTTATGTCATCAAATTTTTATTTAATACAAAATTTTCATTTTTACAGTAGAATTTCTCTTTATTCGATACAATTTATTTGTAAAAAATTAGAATTTTTATTTGCAGTTATAATTTTAGATTAATTAAAGTATATTATTTTTCTTAAGATGATTTTAAGATGTTTCTGGTGGTCGACAGTAGCCATGTGGCCATCCAACTTCTTGATAACAATAAGATTTAGGACAACAATTGCGATCAACTTCTCCAATTTTGCATTGACTTGCAATTTTAAGGCATATCGTGTCAGAAGAATCAATCAACAAACTAATAATTATTATTGTCCCAATTATTAATAATTCACTTAAATTAAAAGCAGTCATTTTGGAAAAAATCAGCTGCAAAAATTGACAAGATGAAAAAAAAATTATTCGATTCATATTATATCAATTAATTATAAAACTGGGGTTAAATCAAATATAAATATATATTTATAAAATTATATTTGAATAAAATAATTTTTTTTTCTATAATAATTTTAATTAAATTAATTACCATTTATAATTTTAAATAGTTTAATTAAAATTTTATTATAGGATTATAAACATGTATAGGAAACAAATTTTTTTTGCCAATTCAACTAAAATTATAGAATAATAATTCTATTTTTTACAGAAAATTTCCCTCATTGAAAATGAGGTTTTTTTTTAAAAAAATATAAGGAAATAAATTTTACTTTTTAAACTAATTATATACACTAGAGAAAATATATATATTTGCCTCAGAGACAAATAAAATTTTAATTGATATAAATAAAAAATTGTATTTGCAAATAAAATTGTATTTGTGCTAAATAAATTTTTCTATATTTAAAACAAAAAGTTATTAGACTCTGAAACAAATATATTTTTGATTCAATTTATATATAATTTTTATTATTAATTTTATATATTGTTACATATATTATTTTTAATATATTTAATAAATATCTAAGGCTTATAATATTTAACGTATTCTACAATAACCACGTGGCCATCCTGCTTCTTGATAACAATAATATCTTGGACAACAAAGAGATCTAACATCGCCAACTCTACATGAAGCTCCAATTGAAAGACATGCCATTGCAGAAGGAGCATTAATTAAAATAATTATTATTCCAAAAATCATTAATAATGCAATTGATTTTAAAGCAAATAATTTTGAGCACATAGCTGCAAAAATTGATAAAAAAAATATAATAGATCACTATTTTTAAAAAAGGGGAAGGAGATATTTTAATCATTATAATAAAATTTTTATTTTGTCATTAAAATAAAATAAAAATATATAATTTTTTTTCATGAGAACATAGAAAGAAAAATATTTTTAAATTATTTATTTTCATTTTAAAATAAATTTGAATTAAGCAAAATTAATTTGATTCAAAGTTAACCCTATATATATATATATATATATATATATATATATATATATATATATATATAAAAGCAATATAAATTTTGCTCAAACTATATTTTCTAAATACCTACATTGTTGCAAAAAAAATAAATATAAAATTTTTGTTCATTAATTTAATATATTTAAAGGAATAATTTTTATTTACCGTTAACAATAATAATTAATGTCAGATGATGAAAATATTTCCTCTCGATTAAAACAATAATGGTCTATTATCTTCAAAGTGTAAAATTAGAATGAGTAAAATTCTTCACAAATAAGTATCTGAAACGCAACTAATATATCATTATTACTATTGCGTTATTCACATTTGTTTGTATAAAATATTTCAATAATGATTAACTGATACAATTTTCCTTATTTGTTTGATTTATTTTTTCAAAAAAAATTGAAAAAGTAAAATAAGAGTATTTTTTTCTCATTCAAATTTTTATTCTATTACATTGAAATTTTTTACTATTTTTTACAGTGAGAAACATTTCCTCATTGGAAATGAATTTTTTTTTTTTAATTCGATTAAAAATATAAGGAAATAAATTTTATTTTTAAACTAATTATATAGAGAAAATATATATATATATATATTTGCCTCAGAGTCAAATAAAATTTTTTATTTAAAACAAATAAAAAGTTATTTGACTCTGAAACAAAAAATATATTTTTAATTCAATTTATATAATTATATATAATTTTTATTATTAATTTGATATATTGTTACATATATTATTTTTAATATATTTAATAAATATCTAAGGCATAATATTTATCTTAATCTACAAGAACCACGTGGCCATCCTGCTCCTTGATAACAATATAAGCCTGGACAACAGGGAAATCTATCATCGCCAGCTACACATGAACCTCCAAGTGAAGAGCATGCCATTGCAAAATCAATTAAAATAATTATTATTCCAAAAAACATTAATAATCCAATTGATTTTACAGTAAACATTTTTAGCCTATAGCTGCAAAAATTGATAAAAAAAAAAAAATTATTATTTTTTAAAAAAAGGGACTTTAATTTTTAATAAAAAGGGATTTTAATCATTATAATAACTTTTTTTATTTTGTCATTAAAATAAAATAAAAATGTATAATTTTCTTTTTAATGAGAACATAGAAAAAAATATATTTTTAAATTATTTATTTTTTTAATTTTAAAATAAAGTTGAATGAAGTAAAATTAATTTTATTCAAAATTAAGTAGTTTATATAAATGTAAAAGCAATAGAAATTTTGCTCAAACTATATTTTCTAAATACATTGTTGCAAAACAATTAATATAAAATTTTTATTCATTAATTTATATTTAAATGAATATTTCATATTTAAATGAATAATTTTTATTTACCGTAACAATAATATAATTAATGTCAGATGATGAAAATATTTCCTCTCGATTGAAAAACAATGGTCTATTATCTTCAAAGTGTAAAATAAAAACTGAGTAAAATTCTTCACAAAAAATTATATATTTATATCTGAAACGCAACTAATATATATATTACTATATTATTGCGTTATTCACACTTGTTTGAATAAAATATTTCAATAATGATTAACTAATACAATTTTCCTTATTTGTCTGATTTATTTTTTTTTTTAAATTGAAAAAGTAAAATAAGAGTATTTTTTTCTCATTTAAATATTTATTGTATTCCATATAAAATATGCCTTTTTTTTCTTTTTCAGGTTTTACAATTAAACTGATTTTTAATTACGATTTTTTATTTTATCCACTTTTTGTGTTAACTCTGAATTTGAATTAGTAAAAAGTAAGCTACTAATTCACATTTAGTAAGAATTTTTACTAATTTTTAGTAAAATATTACTATTTGAATTAGTAGTTTTAAAATTGTTCACTAAAGTTTTAGTAAAATGTAACTAAAGATTAGTTCAAATTCTTACTAATTTAAATTAGTAGCTCAATTTTTGCTAATTTAAATTTAGAGAGAAGATATAATTTTTAATTTGTATTATATTTAAACCGTTCTATTTTTACAAATTCCTAATGGTGATCCTGTTTTTTGATCACAATATGATCCAGGACAACACCATCCTTCGGAACCATTAAAATTGCAATCCTATTTTTTGATCACAATATGATCCATGACAACATTGTCCATCAGATCCGTTAATTTTACATTGACGTCATTTTGGAATACATGCCCCCAATGTAGAAGGAGCAATAATAATTATTAACATAAATATCATTATTATTAAAAATCCGATTAATCTCAAAGAAAACATTTTTCAGTATATATTTAAATAATTTCGCTGCAAAAAATTAATGAGATTATAATTAAATGGAAAGTAATTTTTTTGATTAGTTTCTATAAGAAAAAATTGAATTTCAAAACCTGAATTAGAATAAAAAGTGTTAACTAATTTGTTTTTTTTTTTTTGCTACAAATTAGTTAAAATTTATTTTAATATTGTTAAAAAATAAGTAAAAAGAATCTTTTCACTAATTCGTAGCAAAAAATTTTACTCACTAGTACAATTTATAGTTAAAATTTTTACTAATTTAGATTTACAGTTCAATTTTTTGAAATTAAAACAGAAATTTTTTTTTTTTTTTTTTACAATTACCATATAATTTGTGAAGAAAATTTTGACAGTACTTTCCAAAATTTCAAACGTTAATGGACAATATAAGAAGAATGTGCAAAATTTAATATATAAAAAACAGTGAAAATAATTTTCCTTGTTTTAAATGATTTGTTTAATTTTGAGCCTCATAAAAAAAAGAATTACAACCTGAAAGGAGAATTTAAAAAAATTTTTTAGATTTTTATTTTTGTCATTTTGACAATATAAAATGTGAATTCAAACAAAGTATTGTTTTCCTCATTTGTTTTTTTTTTTTTTTTTTTTTTTTTAATTTCACGTTGAGATATAAATAACAAATTGTTATAAACTGATTTTAATTAATTTATAATATATATATTTTTGTGTCTAAATATTTTATACATTAATAAAATAATATTATATATAATTAACCGATTCAATTTCTACAAATTCCAAATGGCCATGCTATTTTTTTATCACAATATGATCCAGGACAACATTGACCCTCAGATTCATTAACTTTACATCGATATCCAGGTGGAAGACACACCATTATAGATCTACAAATTCCAATTTTAATTTGCCATCCTATTCTTTGATCACAATATGATCCAGGACAACATTGACTATCAGAAACGTTTATTTTACATTGAAGTCCATTTGGAACACATTTCGCCATAGTAGATGGGACAATAATAATTAATACCACAAATATTGTTGTTATTATTATTAATCCGATTAATCTCAAAAAAGACATTTTTACTATAAATGTTTTGCAGCAAAAATTGAAATTTATTGGAAACTAATTTTTTTTTATCCACTTGAAAAAAAAATTGTTTTTAAATGATTCGAGTAAACATTTTCCAATAACTATAATATTTATACGCGAAAAAATTTTAACTGCCCTTTATTCAAAATATCAAACAGTAATAAACAATTTCAAAAAAAAAAAAAAATGAATTTAAAAAAACTTTTTCTCATTAAAATTTTTTATTTTTATATTGACATTATAAATAAATATTGTTTTGCAATTTAAATTAATTCCGCAAACATCATTAACAATTCGATTAATTTTATTTTTAGCATTATATATCTTGTATGCTAAAAAATATATTCAAATATTATCAGTAATTTTTTTTTTTAATTTACATAAAAAAAGTTCTATAATTAATTTTTGTTTTTTTAATTATAACTCGAATGAGGAAAAAAATTTTCCAACAAAGAGAATTATGTAAACAAAAGTATTTTTTTTTCCTCATTTGGAATTTTTATATTTCACGTTAATATTTTTTATTTTGATATTACTGTAATTTAAATTAATTTATAATATACATTTTTCATATAATTAACGTCTTCTTGGTCTACATTCTCCATATATCCATCCAATATTTCGATAACAAAATGATCTAGGACAACATAAACCCTCAGAACCGTCAACTTTACATTTACCTCTAAGTCCAATACATGCCATTGCAGATGAAACAATCAACAAATTAATTAACGCCACAATAATTAATAATCCAATTGACTTCAATGGAGACATTTATTTTTTTTTATATTTTATACTGTAAAATAATGTAGAAAAAAAGCTAATACTATAAAATTTTTAGATTTTTATAAATATTTAATCAGTTAAATTTTTTACTGATTTTTTTTTAGAAAACAAAATTTGATATTTCAATTTATTTTTTATTTGAAATTAAATAGTTGTATGAAAAATGTATTTACCGTAATAATTAAAAAATATATATATTATCAGGAGAAAATTGACTGCAATTTTCAAAATATAAAACAAATATGAACGATTTTGAGAAAATTGTGAAAAATTTAAGTACAGTGTGTAACTACACCACCACTTTGCTTATATGACTGAAAACGAGTGCGCAACTATATCCCTCTACTTTATGTAAAAGATAATTTTTTTTTTCCCCTATAATCGAATATTATTTCGCATTTAAAAAAAAAATATATTTTTTTTTTAATTACAAAAATAGACCATTCTCCTTGAAATCTACAATGGACTAAAAATATTCGAATTATCCCTTGAGAATTCACGGAAAGTCGAGTTTTTTTTTTTATAGAGTAAGTGTACCAATTACGGCGCGTTCATAAAAAATATTACTATTATATTTAATATAACTGATGCAAAATGATTAAAGAAAATTATTTCAATCTTTTTTTGATACAATTATTTATAAAGATGCACATTTAAACAATTATTAATTAAATTATTTGAGATCAAATTTTTTTCCTCGCCGCAATTGAAACATTTTAAAGCTTTTCCATTGGCTTCAATTTCAGCGGGCAAAGTATCTTTAAAATACACGTAATTTTTGGTCACCGAAATTGATACAAAACGCGCCACAATAGAAAATTAACGGTATTAGTTTTAATTTCTCATATTTTGTTTAAATAATCGATTTTTATAAAAGTTAAAAATTTTCTTTCTTAATATCTAAAAGCTTTTAGTTTATTATTTTATATTTATTTAGTTTATTATTTATTTTCCAGTTTTGACTCGAATCGCGCCGCAATTAGTGCATTTACCCTATATTTTTACAATAAATTGAAACTTATTATTTTTTTTTTAAATGTTTATTTAATTTTAAAACATTTTTTCATTATTTTTTAAAAATATTATACAGTGTATATATATATATATTGATCATAATCGTCTTCTACATATACCGTGGTCCCATCTTGTTTGTCGATAATAATAAAGTCCAGGACAACAGTTACAAAATTCATTTTCTTTACATATACCTCCATCTCCAATGCAATCTGCCGCAGCAGTAGAATCAATAAATAAAATAATTAGTCCCACAATCATCATCATTATTATCCGGAATGATTTCAATGTAGTCATTTCAGTAATTTTTTTTTTTTTTTTTTTTGAATTAGTGAAATAAATATATAAATTTTTTTTTTTCTTTTTTTACTACAGATATTATCGGAATCAGTATATGAAAAAAAAGCAACAATTTTACAAGGTTTTTATATACTGATAAAATATTTAAAAAAAGAAATAAAAAAAAATATTTCCTTACAAAATTTATTATTTCAAGTGATTTATAAAATATAACACGAATGAGGATGTTTCACAATATTTATAAAAAGATATAAATATATTATTTATAAATTGTTTTTCTTATATTACGTAGAAAAAAAAAATTTATGGAGTAAGACTTTTTCTAAATTTGAAATTTTAATTCATAAATTCGATTATTACTATCATATAGGACCTAATTTTTATTTGTACTATGTACCAATATGTGTATAATATTTATTCAATCTAATTTTCATTTAAACAAAACTTTATTTGGCTTAATTTTTATTTATAGCCTAGTGACTGTTATACATAATTTTTATGTAAACTCATTACATTTTGGCCTAATTTTTATTTGACTTAATATTTATTTTTAACCTAATTTTTTGGCTTAATTTTTATTTGGCCTAATATTTATTTTTAACCTAATTTTTTGGTCTAATTTTTATTTGCCCCAATATTTATTTTTAACCTAATTTTTTGCCCCAATATTTATTTTTAACCTAATTTTTTGGCCTAATTTTTATTTGGCTTAATATTTATTTTTAATCTAATTTTTATTGGACCTAATTCCTGTTTGTCTTAATATTTATTTTTATATAGCTTAATTTCTTTTTGCCCTAATTTTTATTTGACCTAATCCATGTTTGGCCTAATATTTATATGGCTTAATTTTTATTAAACCTAATTTCTATCTGATTATTTTATCTATAATTTTCATTTAGCCTAATTGAAAAAACCTTTTCTTCGTACACTGAGAAAAAAAAATTTAGTGTTTGCAACAAAATTATTTGATTAGGCAATTTTTTTGGTTCTTGTAATCAAATTTTTGTTGGCTGAAACAAAGTCGTAGAGTTATTTCAACAAAACATTTGGTTAGGCCAACAAAATTATTTGGTTGAACATTTTT